TGACTTGTCATCCTGAGGCATCAAACTCAGGAGCCCCGGGATGGGGAGGGATGGAATGGTGGGGCAGGACACAGGACAGGTCCATGCGCCCCCCTGTGATGATTTAAGTGAACATTGAGACTGAGCTGACCTCGGTGCCCATGCCTGGTCTAAAGGCTTTCAGCCTCAAAAAACTGTGACCTGTGAGCGTGTCTGGATGGGCAAGCTTCCCCATCGCTGGAATGAAAGGCCTGATACACACAACTTAAAGGAGAGGTTTATTCTGGCTCACGGTTTCAGAGGTTCCAGGCTATAGCTGGCTGGCTCCACGGCAGGAACATCATGCCAGAAGGGCCTAGTGAGGGAAGCCTGCTCAGCCTGTGGCAGCCAGGAAGCAGACAGCAAGGGAAGAGTTCTAGAGGAAGGGTTCAGAAGCCAGATCTGGTCCCCAAGATCACAGCCCCATGCCCTGCCCAATGGACGTGTGCCATACTAATCAAGGTGTCTCTAGCCCATCGAGATGACAATCAAGATTTCCTGTCTCAATGGCAAGGAACACTGCATAGTCAACTGTAGTGCAGCAGATGGCCAGGTACATCACCAGGATGTCATTGTAGTGGTGGTAGAGAGACTGTTGTCACCCCCTCCAAAGTGTCCATGTTCCTATGCCCAAATCTATGAATCAGGAACCTCATATGACTTTGCAGCTGTGAATTAAGTTAAGGGATCTAGAGGTACAAATTTAATGAATTAACATATACATGCAGTGTTTGAAACAGTGTCAGTACATGGTAAGCATTAAATCAGCATTCGCTTATTAAATTTTATTATTTGCTATTCGTAGAGAAAAGAACATCAGACTAGCAGGGTTTACCTTGACCAAGGTGAGTAGTTTCAGAGAGGTCAAGAGTAGGCCAGACCCCCAAACTCCTGAGATGCTGGTTGTGTTCTCATTTCAATGTTATAACGTCATATTCATACTGAATCTCATTTTCAAGTCAAAACAACTAATTACAGCAGATGCCCTTCTGGAGGGCTTACCTACATTTCAAAACTATAATTAGTCTCAGTTCTCAGATCCTTGTAAGAGAAAAGAAAAATAAATGGAGGGCCTTATTGGGTTGAATAACCCTTAGTTATTGTGGGCTGATGAGGCCCACAATCTCTCAAGTGAGTAGACAGTGAAGGCTTAAATAAATGAGACAATGGAAATGATTTCAGGGCTCCAGGAGGGACTAACTCTCTTACAGCTTTAATATTCTCTGAGTTTAGACCAAGACTTCTCTGGGCAGCCCGTATTTACTTGGTTTTCAAACAAAGGAGGATACTCAAGAAAACACGGGAATCTAGGCAGGACTTTTCCAAGTAATATATTATGTTAATTTGGACCTGTGTTACCTCCAGGAAGACTTTCACAGCAGGAACGAGATACCTGCAGCTACAGTCTCCTTTAAGTTAATTGGGGTTGGAGCCAGATGTCCTCAGCTGTAGCCTTATCTTGTCTTTTGAGGCGTCACAGCGTCACAGGCCCATACAGGCCTCACCAGTGACCAGTGACTTACAGAGGTTTACTTACCATCAGTCCACTGCCCATCTTCAGACAAGGTTTCTAAGCTTCAGACAACTCACAAGTAAACATGAAAAGTTAACTGGTTGAAATTAAATCCTGTTCACATCCACTTTGTAGTGGTCTCCATCAGGGCCTTATTGGAGATCCTGTGCATTTGACTGTCAGACAACCTAGTTAATAACAGAATCATCTCAGGTTATAGTCCGCTCATTCATAGTTTTGTTCTCTCCAAATGTGACCCATAAGAAAAACAAAAAGACCAGCACAGAATCTGGCAATGTGTCTGGTATCAGAACCAATGGGTCACTCATCAGATACCAGTCGGGGAAGATTCTTAGCATCAAGCTCCAAATTACTGGCAGGACCTCCCAAATGCAAGCTTTATTGGAGTGTGTATAGGGCTTGTTTGAAACATCGTGCCCTGGAAACACTAGCATCATTGAAAACCTAGTATTACCAAACAGTTACCAGATTCTGGGGTTCTGTAGACACTTTCCAGATCCTTGGTGTCCTGCACAAAGCACTGGACAAGAGACACAAGGAAAGTAGTGAGGTTTAACATTTATTAAAGATAAGAAAAGAAGTACACTCTGCAGTGACAGCAGGCCACTGAGAGAGTTCACAGTTGCCATGAGGTTAATAGCAGAAGTCTTTTTTATCCCCCATTCCTCAGGCTGATGTCAGATCTAGACTGTACTATCAAAAACCTGCTTGATTTCATGCCAGAAGAAGTGAAGATAGCACTTTCTGATTGGTCTCAGGTGCAGGGCTTGAAAACCACATTCTGCGAAAGTGTCCTGAATTGGTGTGATTGGCAGATCATACCCACTTGCTCAGCTGGTTTGCCACACCCTACTCTTCTGCCGCAAGACCTTCCCACAAAGGTGGTTGTGCATCCCTTACAAAAGGAGCAAATATTCCTAGGGAGAATAAACTGGAAGATGGGAAAGTTCGTCTAAGAAGATAAGTCAAAGGGGAATTGTAAACTGCATTCCAAACCTATCACACCATCCTGCTCCATGGTGGAATAGCCAGCTTCGTCCTGCAGTGTGAAACTGTTATTTATACTGTGAGTTTCTAACACACAGCCACCCTTTGTCCCTAGGGATTAGGAATGCTTTAATGGAGTTGTAAATGAGAAAACAAACTGATTTCTCTCTACTGTCACACTCACTCAATGTGGCACACTTTTGTGCCCAGATGTGTGGGTTTCTCCCCACACACCGAACAGTTCTCCAGAGACATGGACTAGGCGTCCTGTGATTCAGTTAACCCATGAGTGAAAGGGCTCAGTCCCACCAGGCTACTTTCATCACGTAGGAGGTTGTTGCCTGTATCCTCAGCATCTGGCTATAAATCTTGGGGCTTCAATAACCCTGTCCTTGGGTTTGATTGATTTGCTCGGGTGGCACAGGGACTTCAGGGAAACACTTTGTTTACTATCACTTGATTATAAAGATATAAATGATACAGGTAAAGAACCAGGTCAAGAAATGGGTAGCAAAAAAAAGAGGGCAGAATTTCCATTCCTTCTGGCCATCCTACACTGCCAGCACTTCTAGGTGTTCAACAACCAGGAAACTCGGCATATTCTATTGCTCAAACTGGACCTGGTGGCACAGCCCCATAATTCTAGCACTCTGAGAGGCTGAGGAAGGAAGATCACCAAGTCAAGCCCCTTCCTGAACAATTTAGCCACTTAGCAAGACCTTGTCTCTAAATAAGAATTAAAAAGAGGCTGGGAATATTGATTGGTGCAAAGGTGCTGGGTTCAACTCCCACTGCCTCAAAGAAAGAATTTTTATTGACAGGTGTCCTGACTGTTCTGGTGACCGGAGCCCCACCCCCAACTCATCTCATTAGCATAAATGCCTGTGTGATCCAAAGGACTCTCAGAGAGCAAAATCACTCCAGTTACTCAGGAAATTCCAGAGGTTCTGGGTGCTATGTGACAGGTATCAGGGACAAAGACCAAATATATTTCATATTATGCCACAGAGACATTTTGAAGAGAAAAGAAATAATAACTGTCAAAATGTTCTTATAAACAAAAAGATTTTAGAATAAAATTCCCAATCGTTTCAGAGTGCTACAGAATTTATGAATGATAACAACCATTAAATGTGAAATCATCCTACTTGCAGTCTTCATGGACTTTCTATTTTCACTTGTCAACCGACATAAACTCAGACAGAAATTCTCCAAGGAATAATGGTATTTATGAAGATTACATAGGATACATTTTAAAACAAGAATCCAGTCTTTTGTGAATGATTCTTACTATCATATATGCATGCATGAAGTCCCCGCCTTCGTAACATCCAGGCTTTATTTATTTATGTTACTGTTTGTGGCTGGGGTCGGACAGAAGTGACTTTGTCAGTCCATTTTGATTCTGGCAGTTTTCTCATGTTCTAGCATCTCCCTTTGGATTCTGTGATGTGAACCCTTGGCCAACTGAAGAAAGGAGTTTGGGGTATTTGTGAGGAACTACCCCACCTACAACTCTGAGAGCATTCCTCTTGGCCCCTTAGGTCCTAGGGGAGGGCTCCAGATGCTTCAAATTCCTTCCAGAATGTTCTCTTTCACACACACACCTCACCCCCGTGGATAAAGCAGGAGCAAGGAATGATTGCAGGATTTTCAATAATTACTAACAACTTGAGAACCACAAGTGTCTCTATTCATGCCCAGGCCCACTGTTTGTGTTGACTGTAGCTCTCCCCTGGGATTCCATTCCCATTCTCTGGTGACTTCTGCCACAGCGTGCCACCCGCCCATTGTCCGTCCCCACCTGCCCTGTGCATGGACAGGTGCGCATGCCTTGGGTGATGTCCACTCGCGGTGACTAAGTTACATGCCCAGCAACAGGAGTGTCATTTCTTTGTGCCTGTTCCTTTGTCACTTCATGTCTAATGAGGCTCCAGGGGTGATGGGTGGGACAGAAGAGCAGCCATTGTTCTGTGCAGACAGACATGCTCTCTTGCGTGTCCCTCGGCCCATGAGTCGCCTTCTGTTCTGAGTCTGCACTAATGTGGCTAGAATCAGGCTGTCGCCTCAGGGAGGGAGAGAAAGGCAAGAGGCCACGGTCCTGAAGTGAACGGGCCACAGGGAAAGAAAGGAACCTCTGTGAAGAGGAGAGTCCCAGCTAAGTTTCGGTCCCCTGGCCTGGGGACACGGAGGAGTGAGGCTGGGGAGGGCCAGAGAGGGAGGGAAGGAGTCGGCAGGCGGGAAGGAAGGTCAGCCCTGCGTGACATGACGCAGGGTGCCTTGCCTGGGGTTGAAATTGAGGAACTGAGGAGGCAGCAGAGGAGAGGCAGTGTCTCAGCACAGGATGGAAGGAGACCTTCGGCCCCCAGCTCTGCCTCATGCATCTCCAAGAGCTGAGGAGATTAATGACCCAAGGAGGATATGATATGGTCCAAAAACTTCTCCTGGATTTTTTCCGTAGGCGGCTGAGCCAGAGGCCCACAGCAGAGGAATTGGAGCAGAGGAACATCCTGAAACGTAAGTGACTCAGCCCCGGGCGGTGCTGCATGTTCTGGGGTGCTTTCTTCGTTCCAAGTGCTCGCCCACCGGGCTTCTCCCTGGGCTGCTGGGAGACCATGAGATGCCTCCCCTGGGTGCCGGAGCACCAAAGGCAGCCTCCCCAGGGCGAAGATCCGCTTTATTCCGCTCTATTGGCTGCAGCCTCACAGGTGCAAGCAGAACTTCCCCTGTAGTGAGTTGTGAAGTCAGGGAGAAGCTGAACAATTCCACTAACTTACTACTCAGTGACTTTGACAGGGGTACAGGTCACCATTTAACCAAGGTGGCTTCAAAAGGCTGAAGAGGGCTTTGCTGACTAAAATGAAGGAACTAGCCATCTGAAAGTGGGGACTAGAAAACGTGAGTTTCTGTCACAGCTGGCTGCTGTTGATAAAATTCGTCAGGCCTTTGAAACAGAGAGTTTGGGGGCTGGGGATTTAGCTCAGCGGCAAAAGCACCTGCCTGGCAAGTGCAAGGTCGTGAGTTCAGTTCCCGGTACCGGAGAAAAAACAAAAAAAAAAATACTGCACTCTGTTTGGGACTGGGGATTTAGCTCAGCGGCAAAAGCGCCTGCCTGGCAAGCGCAAGGTCGTGAGTTCGGTTCCCTGTACTGGAGAAAAACAAAAACAAACAAACAAAAAAAGAAACAGAGAGTTTGCAGTCCAAGGCAGCAGTTCCCAGCGAACATGCCTTGTGTCCCTCTGTCCTCTGTCAGGGTTCATCGCTCTCATTCAGGAAAAACTGGCTGTCACTGAGGCCACCAGCAGAAAAATACATGAACCCCTTCTTTGGTGCAGGACACAGGGTGTATTTGGATATATATGGAGAAGCCACTGGGTACTGAAAAACTAGAGTACGAACTACTGAAAGAAATCAAGCATTTTTGTCAACAAATAATATTTTTAGTTTAATTTATGACCCTTTTTCCTCCAACCCAAAACCACCCATTAATTTTTCTCCAAAAAAGAGAAGTATGTGCTGCACAGTTTTCTAGATATGTTCTACAGACACGCACCCATGCACACGCACACACTCCTGTCACGTGCGTGTGACCTTGCTCTAGCTGGGTATTTCCACGGAAACCAACCTAAGATGCTCTCAATTGCACTTTGCTACCCTCCCTCCTTAGGCCTCGTGACTGGGTCAGCACTTGCCCTTTTGCTGAGAGGTCACAGCAGCACTCGCCGTAGCTGGAGGCTCGGCGAGTGGGAGAGCAGCCCCTGCAGGGCGCCCCTCTGCCTCTGCTCACCTGGCTGGGCCTCAGCCTCCCAGAAGCCGCTTCCCAAGTGCCAGGTGTGGACTGTGTTCAGGGCCGGTCTGCCTCAGTCCTTAGTGCACCTAAGGATGTGTGTGTATAATTATGCTCATCCATGAGGACACTTTCTAAGCAGCCAGGCTAGGTGGCAGATGCCTGTAATCCCTGAACTCTGGGAAGCTGAGGCAGGAGGATTGCAAGTTCTAGCCCAGCCTGGGCAACTTAATCACTTAGTGAGACTGTCTCGAAATTTTTAAAAGAGGTGGAGAGTTGCTGGGGATGTAGCAGAGTGTGAAGACCCTGGATTCAATCTCTAGTATCAAATAAATAAATAAATAAGTTTCTAAATCCTCTAGACTGTACAGTGTGCTTAGAACCTTTCCTGAGATTACCGTGGTCAGAGAAGCATTTGTCCCTGTTTGCAGCCCCAGTCTGAGACCCGATCCATTCTAAATGATCCACTGCTGGGAAGAGGAGAAGACAGGTGAACCCTGATTCCTAAAATCAGAAATCAGCCTCTTCTGGGGATGGTGTCTAGAGGCTTCCACAGTGGTCCCGCGCTTGACATACAGTCATAGGCTTCTACAACACAGCCTCTCACAAAACTAGGCTGTCCGCGCCCCAGGGAAGGCCCCAAATCTGCACTCGGTGTGTGCCCTGGCAGGCTTTCTGTTGGCCTAAGGTTCTTAGGAGATTGTCTAAAACGAAGAAGCGTCCGCAGGGCTCACAGAGGCGCCGTGTGTGCCTAGGGTGGCCACAACAGGATCAAGTGTGTTTTCCTTACGGAAGAGCAGAAAATCGTAGTGAAAGTGTTGAAGGCACAAACACAGTCAGAAGGCTAAATCAAAGATGAAGCTTTTTGAGTAAGAAAACATGGAAAAACTTATAAAAAATAAAATAAATAAAATCAGAAATCAGACCATCAGGCTTCCGCCCCACTTCTGTCCAACCCACGCTGGTAGCTGTCATGGCTCTGTGGCCTCTGAGAATCTCTGCACAGCGTATCCATGCATCTGAATTGGATTTGGAGGCTTCTGAGCCATTGCCTAAGCTCAAAGAGGGCACCGACCTCCTGAGACTGGGTTTCAGCAGACAGTCACATCCAGCAGCGGTGAGGCTCACGCAAAGAGGCCTCAAACGCCCGGCTCACCCTCGGCTTGCCCCGACCTGGGAGATAGATCACAAGCACGCAGCACAGTGGTGCTTGGGCTTTGCTACCTGTGTCTGTAAGCCCGGAGCGACTGACGGAGTAATTTCCAAAGTTCACCCCCAAGCTTTTCTTTTATTCTCTTCTTTCTTCTTTCGTGTCCTGGTCTAATAGATGCAAATTAGAGAAGTCCTTGACCAAGTTCAAACAGGTTGATCCTGTCCCGGTTTCAAGAGACTTTTCAAAAAAAAAAAAACTTGTGTTTTTCATATAGGTTTTTATTTTTCTCTGCATCCTGATCCTGCAGCTGTTTTCTAAATCAGTTTCTTTAAATTTAAGTTTCTTTGTGTATTAATCTTTTGATTTGCTAAACAAGAAATGTCTAGTGAGATAAGAAAACATCCTCAAGCAGTTTGTTCTAAAACGTATTAGCCTTGGCACGCAGATATAATCTGGGTGATTGAGGCAGGAGAATTGCTTGAGCAGCCTAGTAAAACTTAACAAACTTGTCTCAAAATAAAGACAGTGCTAGGGATATAGCTCAGGGTGAAAGTCTTGAGTTCAATGCCCAGGATCAAATAAATGAAAAATATAAATAGATCTCATTTTCTGGGCTTTAAGTCACTGGAAGAGCTGCTAGGTCTGGAGTGTGGAGGCTGGCTTGAGGTCCAGCTTGGAGTCTTTGGCTTGCAGCCCCACCCCGACCATCCCTTCCTTTTATCTTCAGCCAGGGAGACCTTGTGCCCATCTGAGCACATAATGAAGATACTCTGATGCGCCCCCACCCCCGCCCCATGACAGTCACATCATGGGCCATGTCTGGCCTCTTATTTGTTTACTGGATTATCTTGGCATCTTCTACCTGAGAATTCTTGACACTGGGTTTGTAAATGGCTTTGTTTTGTTTTGTTTTGTCTTATCTTGTCTTATCTTGCAGTACTGGGGATTAAACCTGGGCCCTTAGCACTGAACTACATCACCAGTCCTCTTTTTATTTTTCATTTTTGAAACAGGGACTTACTAAGTCACTAAATTACCCAGTCTGGGCTCAAAGTTTCTATCCTCCTGCCTCAGCCTTCCAGAGTGCTGGGATTACGGGTGTGCTCTACCACACTGGGCTTTGAACTAAAGTTTTGGATTCCGTAAGTGGTCACTTGGGGTCCCACATCCCAGAAGGACCAAGGAATCACACAAAGGAAATGGGGGCTCCACACTCTCTCAGTTCTGGCAAAGAATGCCACCTTCAAGCTCAGAAGGGGTGTGTAGAGTTTGGGGTCTGAGGTCCCCAGTAATAAGAAGGTGGACTAAGCCCAAAGCAAAACTTAACAGCAGGAAAAGGCAAAGAATTGAACTATTTGTCTAATTAGTCGTGGAGGGTGTGACTAGTTACTTAACTCCCTGGGGCTTGCTTGCTTCTTTTTTGTTGTTGTTGTTGTTGTTGTTGTCTTTGTTGTTGTTGTTGTTGTTGTTTTGGGGGTTTTGTTTGTCTTTTTGGTCTCACTATGCAATTCAGGCTGGCCTCAAACTCCCAGCAATCCTCAGTCTCCCAAGTGCTGGGATTACAGGCCTGTGCCACCAGGCCCGCCTGGCCATCCCTCAGGCTTTCATATCTGCATTTGTAAACCAAGAGTGGTGGCCTTAGTGGCCTCTGTGAATTTTAGTGCCCTCCAGCTGCCTGTGGGGCCAACTCCCAAACCCTCCCTCCTTTCTCCCACCTGCAAACAAGGCTGTCTGGGTTTCCCTTCTTCCAGCTCCTGCTGTCTGCCTTCCAGATGATTCTTTGATAAATGAATTCATACTAAGATATTAATGGCTGACCAGTTTCCTAGATTTTATGCCAGAAAAATTTGCATTTTTACAAATACCACCTTGGGGTGCCTCCTGGGTGTTGCTGTCTATCTCCCAATTATCTCTGATTGATAAATTCATCTCAATCTACGGATGGCTGGCTAGTTTAATGGATTTTTATCCAAGGAAAATTTGCATTGGGAGAAAGGATCTTTAAATCCGAAAGAAGGAGCAGTCATAGTGGCACTGGGCGGTGATCCATGCCAGGACAGGATGTGGACGTTTCATGTGCTGCCCTTGTACAAGGTCGTGATCCCCGTAGGTGTTAATCGGCTCTGGGATCAGCTGTTTGTCCTCATGGGAGGTGTGGGCACCTTTGGTGTGAGTTACCTGTAGGAAGGGCAGGATGGTTCACTGGATAATTCCACCCCATTTCCCCGCACAGGGGTTTCCCTCGTGTAAAGATCTGTCCTGTCCTGGGACCATCAGAAGCCACAAATAAATTGCAAGCGTGGAAACTCATTAAGCTTTCAACAAATAACTCAATAATTGCAATGACAAAGTGAAGAAACAAGCACCCTGAACAACCTTACTGCACTCTGGCCCAGAATCGGCTTGCGGCTTCCTGCACCTGTGCCATCCTAAACCCAGTGGGAATCACGGGCCTGCTGGGACACCCGTTGGTGTCAGGGTGTTTTCAAGTCAGGTGACACTAGGTTGATATATATGTTTCCATAAATATCAAAGAATCCTTCCAAGGCCCAGATGGGAAATGATTTACCCAAGGTCATTCAGTTAGCTGAGCTGGAGAAATAAGCCCAAATTCTCTGCCCCTCAAATCTCTGCCCCTTTCCCAGACTCCCTTACCACCGGCTCTTAAAACCCCTCATGAGTAAGTCACCGACCTACTGTGCCGAGCACCTTTCGGCTCAGAAGTCTGCTCCTAAGACACCCCTGATGAGTCAAAGTGCAGGCAGTTGTGTCCCACACTCTGGTCGCACATGTGTTCTGTAGACTTCTTACAAGATGCCAAAATTCATGGAATCAGGGCCTGAGAAAGGTGAGCACTCTGAAATTCCTGGAGGAGCAGCCAGCTTTGTGTTTGCTGTTGGCCAGTGAGGTGGCAGAGGTGAAGGTCCGCTTTCTGTTCTGCCCGACAGCGCCCCAGGCCCTAGGGCCGCAGGGAAGTGAGCCCCTTCGGGGAGGCTCCAGGGCAGGGGTGAGGCCCCGTGTGGTGCATAGAAAGAAGTCTCGCAAGTCCCTCCAGGCCCGTCTCTGCCCGTACCCCTCCCTCGCTGCTCACACACCGCGTCCTTGCCTCCCGGTCCCATTTCTCAACCCAGTATTTCTGCCTGAGGACCCAACCCACATGACAGTTAAAAAAAAACACAAAAAAAAACCCATAAAGGTCATCTTCTGGCTGCCAACTTGAAACAATGCAATCAGTTTGGGGACCATCCCCACAGGCAGAGGGTGGCCAGGGAAGGGGACACGAGTGTCCTCTCCCCCTTTTCAAGCTGAGGTCCTTGGACAAGAGCCTGCTAAGGCCCAAAGGCTGCACCTGTGTGCAACTCTGCGTACGGAAATCAAAAGCATCTTTGATCTTTCTTTCAGCTCGGAATGAGCAAGAGGAACAAGAGGAGAAAAGAGAGATCAAGAGGCGGTTAACTCGAAAGGTGAGAAGGTTCTCCATGCAGAGGCTGGGCAGGAGCGGGTGGGCTGCTTCCCACACCTTTGCCTCTGGTGGCCTCGGTGGCCTTGAAGCCACGTAGCCCATTGGTTCCTCACTGCGGGTGTCAGAGTGCATAGCTTTTTAACCCAGTGAACTGTCCCTGGGGACCGGTGCTCAGCACAGCATCCTGCCCCCTCAGTCCTTTGGGCTGGTGACGTTCAATCCAGCTTGATTTGTGACACCCACCAACCCCAAAACAAGTTGCTGTCTGTCATTTTATATTTTCAGCTATGCTAAATATTTTGTTTTTTAAAATTCATTAAAGGGGTTGGGTGGTGCGGCTCAGTGGGACAGCTCAAGCTTAGCATGCTCGGCAAACTGGCTTCAATCCCCAGCACACACAAAAATTATTATAACCCCATTAGCCCATCCCAAGTTCATTTATCAAAATAGTTATTTAAATATAAGTTGGCAGTGTGCTGCAGTCTGGGGAAAGACGGATTTTCTTTGCTTCCTAACACTATGCCTTACCTGTTAGTGTTTAAGAATTATTTGACTTAATTATGTTAAATCCAGTGTGAATTACTAGATTAGGAAAATGCCAAAAGTACAGATAACATTAATGCAGATGTTTTGAAAGCACTCAGATAAAAGTCATAACAGCTAGAATTTTGTACATATTTTAACCCCAAAATAGATGGTTTAGCAATGCAGTGTAGAGCCACAGAGACCTCACGCTACATAGGTGGCCTCTTGAATAATAAATCTGAGGCTATTCCTGGGTGATATTGAAAAGTTTAATTAATTGATGACACAAGGAATGACATTATCTTCTGTCTAACGTGTTTTCAATCAACCTCCTACCGTGATCATCTTGAGAAAAGATATTCAAATCTCAAAGACAGTGAAGAGACCTATTAGATTTTAAAAGGTTTATTAGTCCATTTTTTTTTTTTTTTAGAAATGTTATGCGAAGGGAGAAATTCAGTGGTCCCGAAATATCATACAAATTATTAAGGGGGATGATTCCTGTTTCTCCACATACCCTAAATGTGGCCTGAACCATCAGGTGACTGGCTGGTGTCACCCTGCAGGACACCAGGATAAGAACTAAGTGACCTCACTTCAGCCAGTTGCTCGTACCGCAATCAAGAGCTGTCCCTCTGCAACCTAAGACCATTCAGGCTTTGGACGCAGAGCGCATTTATTCCTGAGACTGAGCAGAGGGAAGAACAGAAGTATATTCACTTGTTCTAAGTGTGCCTTTAAAGTGACAGGCATGTGAGAAAGAGACTAGTCATAGCCCCTCGTTTCTGGCATGGAATGGTCTAGACATTCTAAAAAAATATTGAAGTCAGATTTCCATCAAGTTCATGGAGTGAATGGCTGGAATGCACAAAGTCTCCAAAACTTCAAGGTTGCTTACTAATAATCATAGGAATTACTTAGACATATATTCGATTCTTATTTCTTGCAGAGAGAAACCTGACTAGTTGCATAAAGTGATAGGCTAGGTGTCCCCTAGGCTAGGTCACAGGATGGACAGTTACCCTCTTATAGCTTCTAGTTCTTGCAGGTCCCGGAGGTAGGATAATTGCCTCTTTGCCCCTTGGTTTCCTCTCCTTCCTCCCACCCCCAGAGAATGGCCTTGTAACCCTAGCGTGTGCCCTCCCCAGCCATTGGCTCCAGGAGTTAGGCATAGAGAGTATAAGCACCGGATGACCATAAGGAAAAGCCTAGAAAATGGGAAGCAGCTTTCTCATCTGTCTGTGGCCCGGAGACGCGGTGTCTGCCAGCATGCAGAACATCCATATCACATCCTGGCTGGAAGCAAGCTCTCTTCTCTTGAGCCTTTATCACACCAAGACCAGATGCCAGGGACGGTGGTCGCTTTTCATTTACTTCCCCTCAGCCCCAAAACTTCCTCAATAAATTTCTATTTAATTTTAATGGACTAGTGAGAAAAATAAAACTCAGTGGCTGATGCCAATAGCAACAGACCAGTCATCTTTGTCAGCCAAATTGAAAATAACCTAAAAATTACATGCTAAAAAAATGCCTATCTTCCTCTCCAAAATAAAATAAATGATAGCTAAATGGATGGATGGATGCATGCAGGCAAGCAGGCTTAGATGGAAGGAAGGAAGAGGGAAAGAAGGAAGGAAAGAAATGTACCAAGGAGTCAGGCTGTAGAAAGAGTAGAATTTGGGTCTCAATTAATTTACTCTTTTTTTTTAGCTGCTGTTTACCCATATTATTGTTGCCATAGATTGATACAAGTGCTACCCCCCTTCTGCCAGCCCATTATTCCCAGAAAACCTGACTTTGGCCTCAAAGATGATTTCCTCAGCATCCAAGGAATGACCTCAGGTTGTAGGTACCCAAGGCTGCCACCAGCCACAGGCTGAGGGTCCATATTCTAAGCCCTGCATGGTCAGGGGACAAGCTCATCCACACGGAGGAGGGACCTGGCTGCTGACCGTTAGTACCATGGTCCGTACTCAACCTGAGACCCCTCAGGCAGCAGTCGGGTCTGTCCTGGCTCACTCCCTTCCTGCACATGGTACCTTACTGACTTGTGGCAGTGGTGCCTGAGGCCCCACAGAATTCAGGCACAAGTTAGAGGCCCCTGCCCTTCAGAGCTTACATTGAGTTTTCTGTTACTACTGTCTATGGCAGACTCTGCCATAGACAAGCTGTTGGTGCCATCCAGATCACAATTTCCGGGGAGACAAAGACAAAAGACAGGTTTCGCATCTCTTTCCAATCATTGCACACATACAAAAGGATACTGCTTGCCCAACAGCCTGGGGTCAACCCAGCTAGTCCTAAGAAACAAAAACTGGGAATTTTGAGTAGGCATCTCTTTATCTGCGGTAAATATGGTAAATATTCAGGTCAAGATTCAGTGTTTTTATGGCTTTTAATTATACCGCAAACTGTCCCTGCACCTACATTTTGGTGTCAGGATGGCCCCCATTCTGTTTACAACGGTCACAGCCATAATGCCTTGGAAACCTGTGCTTCTTTGTAACAGACCATCACTGAGGCCAAAATGTTCTGCCCTGGGAAATCCATGGCTACCTCAGGAGAGACTAGAGCCACATAGAGGGGAGCCACATGGAGTCTAGGCAAGTGGCCCGCTCCGCAGTCACTAGGCCTCTGGTCCCTGGAAATCTCCACACAATGGCCAAGAGGGACCCACTGGCCTGTCCCGCTACTGCCCTGCTCCAGTGCCCTGCACTGCCCACCAGAACTCTGCTTGATGGCAGCAGGCATTCCTCTCGTGCTGTGCCAGTGTGGCAGCAAGGTGGCACCTTCCAGCACCAGCCCAGGGTGTCAGGCAGCTGCACCATGGTCCTGGTGACTTGGACTTGCCTGAGTGCATTGGCTTTGTAGGTCTGAGTGCTGAGACTGACGGACTCTGTCTTCCATTAACACCATTAAACGCAGTCTGGGGCTGGGAGGAAAAACTGTTTTTAAACAGCATTGGCTAAACATGAACTGACAGTATGCTAAAGGGAGCAACCATGTTGCCCTTGAAGATATAAACCTGTGGCAGAGAGAATAGAAATGGCAGCCTGATGTTGTGAAAGGACAGAGAAATGGTGCTTGGGGGTGAGAGTATTGGGAGATAGCTAAATAAAGATCTTCTCATTCCTCATCCCTGCAACCAGTCCTTCATCCCAGAGCCAGCCAGCAGGCCCAGCCCTATCTCTCTTGGTGTAAATGTGGCCTTGCTCTGCATTCTCTTGGCCCTGTGTTTGTTAGCTGACCTTACAATTGACCTTGTTGAGGAAGAGCATTACCATTAGTAATGTTTGCTCTGAAAACCCGTAACACATTGCCATCCCTGCATACCCTGGAGCTTGCATGCTGTTTGCACTTAGTGTTTCTATGTGTCTGAAACACACACAAGCACATGCACGCATGCACACATACGTACACATAAAATGCATTACAAACCCATCTTGCAGAGAGCGCTAAATTATGAGTTCACAGGAGTGAACTCATAAATCCAGAATGAGACAAAATTTTCCTGTAAGATGCCTGCCACCCGCTGCGGGAAGGACAGGCACCCACAGCCACATAGAAGAACAAGTTTCTTGGGAAGACCCAGAAACTCTGCAGAGCTATGCAGCAAGAGACAGGCTGGCTATCACCTGTAACAGGCCTGGCGGGATAATAAAGCTCTTGGAATCCTAAATTCAGTTCCAGGAGTTGGGAGCCCTGTAAGGCCCCGCCCTGAACTCTGTGTGACACATAGGTCTCCCCGGCGGACTTCATTTACCATGGATGGGGCCTCATGGTCCAAACTCCTCTGGTTGACTGGGCCTTCTCTATCCCCCACTGCAGCTCAGTCAGAGGCCAACAGTGGAAGAACTCCGGGAAAGGAAGATCCTCATTCGCTTCAGTGACTATGTGGAGGTGGCTGACGCTCAGGACTATGACCGCAGAGCAGACAAGCCGTGGACCCGCCTCACCGCTGCAGACAAAGTAAGCAAAGGAGGCAAGGAGCAGGCAGGGCATGGGGCTCCTCCGGGAGCCCAGAAGGAGAGCAGCAGCAAGGCCTTAGCTGCCATCCCCATGGTGGGACCCTCACACTGGTTTCTCCTAGTGCTGCTGCCTCAACACCTTTCCCCAGGACTCCAGGGAGCCTGCAGAGGGGTCCCTGGATAGATTCTCATCACTGGAGAAAGCACAAGACAGAGGGTGTCACTGTGCCTGATTTACAGGAGGAGGAGGGACCGTGTCATAGCCCTATAACAGAATACCTGAGACTGTATAGTTTTACAAGGAAAAAAATCAAGTTAGTCTCATGGTTCTGGAGGTGGGAAGTCCAAGATCAGAAGTAGTATCTGGTGAGGGCCTGGTACTGCTTGCTAAGGTGGTGGAAGTCATAAAGAGAAGACACCGGGGGTGCCTTTGCTTTATAACAGCCCCCAGTCCCTTGAGAAAGGCTTAATTCCTTCTAATGACCTAATCGCCTCTTAAAGCTGCCACTGTCTCTCAGTACCACTGCACTTGGAATGAAGGTTCCAACACACACACCCCATGGTGGACACATTTAAACCATAGCGCAGAGGCTGTGCCCAGAGAGACAGAACCAGACTGGCCTAGGACCAGAACTGTTCAAGAGCGCAAGACTTCAGATCTGTCCCGAACCTTCCATGTTTAGGGCATTGTCCCTGGTATAAAAACAACAGAAGTTAAAATTATTGTATGTGCCTCCCTGCCTCAGACTCTCACCAATTCCCCTAAGGAGGGAAATCTTAGAAGGTTCTAAAGGACATTTCAGGTGATTTGTTCCCCCTCCAAGGAAAGAATTCATTGCACCTACTTGTATAGCTTGGTGGAAGAAAAAATATTATTAGACGTGAAATAAAAGGGGGTTCGCCCTTCTGCCCCCTTCCCCTGCATACTGACGGCTGTGCTTCACCCTCAGGCTGCCATTCGGAAGGAGCTGAACGAGTTTAAAAGCACTGAAATGGAAGTTCATGAATTGAGTAGGCACTTAACAAGGTTAGTGTTCCGGGGAGTTTGTTTGTTTGTTTCCCCCTAAATTGCAGTATTTACAAACAAACCTGTTTCCCGTCTGTTTCCGGGTCATCATAGTGCTTTGGTGGGTGCAGGGGAGAGCAGAGGAAAGAAAGGGGAACACGGAGTTCCACTGGAACGTTGCTGAAGTGGGGCAAGGAGCACTGAAGCCTTGGCCAAACGCTCCAGCAAGTGCCAGACCAAAGCGAGTTCTTATAAAATTGTAAGCTAAGGAGAAAAGATCGTCACCAGCTTACACACACTCAGCAGAGGTCAAACCTGCGCGGAATACCAACGCTACATGGGACTTCCAGAGCGAGTTCTCTTCTGTTATTCTGTGTCATTCTCCACAACAGTCCTGTGTGACATCATGTGGGAAAACTGAGACAGAGAACTAAGGGGCTTATGTAAGTTCACGTGGCTAGTTAGTGACAAAGCCATTGTCCTAATTCTACTTCCCCTCCTTTGATGTACACTTAGAGGAATGGGGCTTACCAAGGATTTCATGCCTGGAATCAGAGACAGGTGACCTTGCCACTGCTGGATCCAGCTGGCAGCATGGGCTGAGTCACCAGGGTGGGTCCCCTGGGGGCTGCAGATTACACTGCAGCCAAAGCAGAGATGAGTTTGGAGGAGCGCACACTGAGGTTCACAGTCCCTGTCCCTGTCACACCCGGGACAGCTGAGGGTGGGAAGGTCGCATCACCGAGTCCACCACTTCGGCAGCGCCTGTGCCTGACTGAGTTCTTTGTGTCCCCAGGTTTCACCGACCTTAGCAGTGGGGTTCCTCCCTAGCAGCTGCTGGCTTCAAAACATAAGTCTGTAAGAACCATAAGTGCTGGCATTTATTCACTTCCCCATTCCGGTGTAAATCTTCGGAACTGCCTTTTTTTTTTTAAAAGAAGAGAAATAAAAGGAAACACAATCAGGATTCTATGAGCGAAAACATGATGGTGACCGATCCGCAGTCAGAGCTGCTGGCGCTACTTCTGGTACCAACACACGTCCCGCTTTCCAGTGGGGCCTGGGCTGAAGACCTCCCGGAGGTGGCGTGGCCCTCATTCTCTCTTTCCGGGCCCAGCAGGCACCATGTTCATCCAGTCTCCTGCACACCCCTTCCTCGTGCTCGTGGGACTGTCGCTTGCATCCAGAGCAGGCAGAGGCCATGGGTTTGGCCTGGGAGTGACTGTGCAGAGCTCAAGATCTGGCTGGCCTTCTGGACGCAGCACCAGCTCCAACACTGCATCTGGTTTGGGGGTCCCCAAGGAGGGGGATGCTGGGGGGAGCCTCACCGCTCGGTTGCCCCTGCTGGTCTCAGCGTCATCCGCACAGAGGACAAGACGGCGGGGCCCTCTTCTGGGGAAGTCCGCGGCCCACTGGTCCCAGCATGTGGGTAGCTGTGGCAGGCTGGCTCTGGGTGCACCCTGTCCCTTCTGCCAAGGGTGAGCTGCTTTCCAGGAGGCTGCAGCTCCCCAAGGGAGAATTGTCACCGTAGTGCAAATTAATTCACCCAAGCGAGTTCAGAAAGCCCAGTGTCACTGGGGACACAAACGCCCCTGCTAAGGAACTCCCCTGGTGCTCGTGCATAGGAGCACGAGGACCCTATCTATGAGCAGGGGACAGAAAGGCCAGGGCCAGAAACTCTGCCTGGCTGATGTTTTTAATCTTCCTGTGTACCTCCAGGCCAGCAGTTGTGTGGCTTGGAAGTTAATGACTTCAGGGTGTAGGGCCAGTGTGTGGCGGCCAGAAACCATTCCTGGAAGTCTGGCTGCCCTGCTACAGGGGCCTGGCCCTCCAGCACCGCTCGGTGGCCTTCCGTTCTCCTTTCTTTGCACTGAGAGTTTCTATGGAGAAGCCCAGAGCTTGACATGGGCCAGACGGGGCAGATGCCAGACACGCCTGCCCCTGGCCGTCCCTCTGCGCCTATCCCGGGAGATTCCTTCCCCTCTCCTGATGATGCTGGGTCATCAGATGTGGCTCCAACTTCCTTGAGCCTCAAGACCCCAGGAAAGCAATGCTCTGTTGACAGAGACACTGGGGGTTGGGGTGCAATGGGGGAAACCCCAAACTCCCAACAGGTACCCCGAGTGGCCTGCTGCAGGGTTTCTTGTTTTCCTTCCTGACCTGGCTCTTGGGCTCTCAGGCCAGGGCTCTGCCTGGCCCCTTCTGCTGGTTCCAGAGTCACCGGGTCTTTCTGGGGAATGACTCGCTCTCCACCACACACACTCAGCATCAGAAAGATGCCAGCCTGGCCATGCCAGAGTCAAGTCCCCACCCCAAGCCCAGTGGGAGCCAGTTACTCTTAGGATGTGGCACCCAGCAAGGAGGTGCTAGAATTCTCTGGCTCCATGGCAGCACTAACCCAGGAGCCTGGGGGGATTCGGAGAGCGCGCAGGGCAGCTCTGGAGACAGCACCCCCAGCCTCTGTCGCCTGCTTGCCAGGTCCAGAGCAAGCTGGCCTCTGCCCAGCCCCAGGAGGACACACCATCACTAAATCTTTTTTTCCCCCATTGTTGTTTTCTTTGGGTGTTGAATCTGAATGGTTTCTGCAGTCAGAGAGGTATTCAGGGAAAACACAGTCGGGATTTTAGCATGGCTGTGAACGCAGTCTTCCCGAAAGGATCACTGACGTTTGAATGTGCGAATGATAGAACAGAGGATGTGTGCTCTTTCGTTGAACTTCCCTGGGGCAGGCATGTGTGCCTGTGTTCCGGACTGAGGTATCTGCCTGGCCTAGCCGGGCCCAGCCTGAGGGTTGTACTTCCCCTAACCACAGCTGAGCGGCAGCTGGCACCTGGAGCTCTGGTGTGACAGCCGTGACAGCCAGGCTCTCCCTGGCCAGGAGCGAGTCCTAAGGGAACTTGTTCCTGAGAAGTCATCTGGACTTCTCCCCTGCTGGCTGTGGTTCTGGGCCCTCGGATTCCCTGGGAATAGAAGGCCCAAAGGGACCTCCCTGCAGGCAGCCACCAGCCAGCATGTGTGCCCATGGGCCCTGGGCTGGCAGCCCACTTTGTGCACAAAGAGATGCAGGGCACTGCCCGCTTCCCCTCCACACAGGGCACCCTTCTCAGAAGTCACTGCTCAGAGTTAGGGGTGCGCCTCCCACACCCCGGGAAGGTCACCTGCCTTCAGGACTGGCTACTGCTAAGCAGTTCTTCTGGGGCTCAGCACCCTCTGTGGCCTGCAGGGGGGTGCCTCTGCTGTCCCTTAAAACCTTGAGGTCTCTAGAAAGATCTCTCACATTTCTTTCTGCCACAGTGTTGTGACAACAGAAGTAACTTGTGTTACTTTCCAAGATGACAAACTGACATTAATTAGGGAGGTAGAAAAGAAAAAATAAATAGACGGGCTTAAAATGCATCCCTCTTTTGAAAAACCTGCAGTTTTCAAGGTGGGTTATTTTTGAGGGTATACATCCCAACTGAGAGATGTGTCATTGAATTAGGAGGAGAGGGAAAATTCGAAATGTCTCAAATCACATGCTTCCCTCTCAAAATAAGACACTGATCCAACCCCACAACAGCCCGTCTCAGTGACTAAAGAGACAGCTCGTGGCCTACCTGCCTTTGCAAAGTCCCTGATAACTTCATCCCAAAGCCCTGTAAAAACGTGTACAACATTAGCCTTTCTGTCAGATGAGAGAAAACAAACAACGTGACAGTCCGCGTGATGAAGAGCTCCGAGTTTATTTTTCTCCTGCTTCCAAACATGTGTTTATCTTTGCCGAATGAAAACTCGTGGTGTGTTGCTTCGATGAATGGAATGTCAGGCTCTCCCTGTGCACAACCAGTGGGCAAAGGTCACCTTCAAGGACTTTTTCTTGCCATCTGTCTGTTACTCCCCAAACCGGTTGCTTTTTGCAGTTGATCCCCGGGTGTACATAGTTTGTCTTTGTGTAGGAGTGAGTGGGTATGGTGACCGTGGATCCCACACACTCCCGGGCTCTAATTTATCAGATGACGGCTGTATGAGGAAGACAATGTACATAGAATACAAAGTAAACTGGATCTCTATGGCCTAGGTTTTGTACATACAGAAACTGCATGGTATTTAAATTATTGTTTGTCTGATGATGTATGCAGTTTCTTTAAAAACAAACCAAAAAAAAGCCTAAAAAAAAAAAATCTTGACTCCTGTGTGTTTTATCATCCACCAGCAGGAACCCCAAAAAGATTTAGTGGGGCTGGGGAAGGGGACTGTTGGGAAGGGAGATGTCAGCTCACCAAGAAAATAGCACCAGTCAGGCAAGAGACAGGGCGACCTCAGGTATCTGGTGATACATCGGGGATAGGAAGTGTCATCGCACATAAGTTAACTTTCTGGAAGACTTTTGCATACTAAGAGCTTATTCCTTAGCATTTAGAATACTAACATGTTTTGCCCAACCTTTCTCCTGGGACAGTGTGGGAATAATGAATAAATTAACCTGTGTTGAGTCACAGGATCATCCCAACAGCATTAGATTCCAGGTGGCCTCACGGCCACAACACTCTGGGGTGTCTTTGGAGTGTCACTGTCCCTAAGCAAAAGCTCTAGGACATTTCCCTTTAAGTACAGTCATCTCTGTATCTGTGGATGCAACCAACCATGGGTCAAAAGTAGTCGGGGGGAAAAAATTGCACTGATACTGAGACTGTGCAGGTTCTTCCCTTGTCATTATTTCTAAGCAGTGCAGTATGGTAGCTACTGACACCGAGTCACCGAGAGGTGAGGTGCGGTACGTTCTGTGCAGCGTACTCCCCATTTTACGTGAGGATGGGAGCCTCCTCAGGTTTGGGTGTAGGGAGGGCGTGGCCCTGGACCCAAACCCTGAGTCTAGACAGTTCTCCTCAAGAAACCAGAGTATCTATCCCTAGGGGCAAAGAGCACTTATACGTAAGCTCTGGTTCCTGCAGGGCTGGGAGAAGCCAGGCGCTGCATTGTAGGTGAGCACAGTTGCTGGGCGTAGATCCTTGGCCTTGTGGTGGGGGAGGTTGCTTTGGGGAAGAGAGGCCTCAAGGGGCTGTGGCTACTCAAGGGTGGGTGACCTTGCACCTCTGTTGATCACCTGGCTCTCTTAAGCTGCGGGTGCCCCTGGCTGAGCTGGGCTGGGCTGGGCCTCTGTGTCTAATAAGCTCTCGGGGCTTCGGGGCTGTGGGACTGCGGGGCTGCTGGGCCTCTGAACGCTACCTGCTTCTCTGCTGAGGGACACAGAAAAGCCCCTGTGGATGTCGGAATCATGCAGGTGTGACACAAGTGTCCGAGCCCCACACTTCCACTGTTCGGGCCTGGCTGCTGAGCAGGGGTCACCCCAGTGGGAGAGGTGAGTGATTTCCAGAAAGGCTTCAGCTCCTGGTCTAGTGAAATGGCCCTCAACCCACCATTTCACCACTTCCAGAGTGTGTGGGTTTTAATAATCTTAATATACAGAACCTGACTGAATTTCCTAGGGGCATGAAAAGGCCAGAAAGAAAAGGCTTCACCAGGTATGGTAACCCACATCTGTTCTGGGAAGCTGAGGCAGGAACATTTCAAGTTCAAACCTGGCCTGGGCAATATTGAAACTTAGAACCTGTTTCCCCCCCACCAAAAAACAATTTTTTTAAAGGGCTGGGCATGTAGCTCAATGTGAAGGTCCCAGTTCAATCCTCAGTATCACAAAAACAAAACAAAATTTTGAGAGAGCTCCCAACAGGGTCTGCCTGGCAAGAGGTAAGGAAAATGGCCGAAAAATGAGGAAGGTTGTGGCTACACCTTTTCACCAGGCAGACATGACCCATGTGGCCTTTACGGCATCTGCTTACACTGTACAGTGATACAGCAGTAGTGACTCTGCCGCTGCACCAAGCCAGGCCATTTGGGCCATGTCACTGAATTTATGCAGGCTTCAGTTTCCTCATTTAGAAAGCAGGCGCACTGAATTAAATGTTAGAGTGACAGCTCAGGGGATACAGGGATTTTTACAACACTGAGCCCTTAGGAAAGAGCAAGCTTTAAGCTGCAAGTGCCTGTGAATGCCCAGCAGGTCACTGGCCCTGCCTGCAATGCTGGCCATGTAGGGGCCTCCCCACGATCCCAGGAATCCCCATCCCAAAGCTGCTGTAAACCCATGATCCAGCAGTCTTCTGCCTCCTCGCCCCCTGGGCCAGGCACCCTGGGGGTCTCAGGAGCTTTCCAGTGACAGACACAGCCTGCTCTCCCCCATGGGGCCCCACTTGGAGGGTGCTCGCTGTTGGTTAACCAAGTATTCCTCAGAGCACAAGCTGGACCCCATGCAACTGTCCTAGCCTAGTCTCTGCAGGGCCCTCTCTGTACGTGTAGCTCAGAACCCCAGGCCCTGGCTATGCAGTGTCACGAAGCAGCCATGTAGCATAGACTTTAAGAGCAAGTGGCACTGAGCCCAGATCCTGGACCGTGCCTTCATCACTGTAAATTTGGGCAAGTTATGTAATATCCCTGTGCCTCTACTTTCTCATCTGTAAAATGGGAATAACAGCATCTATTTATAAGGAGTATTGTAAGAATTAAATAATGGATGTGAAGTGCTTAGAACAGTGTCTGGCATACTCAGGCCTCATTCTATGTTAGCTCTTTCACTTGACATCTTGTCCCACCAGCACCTCAAATTCAATGCACCCAAACTATTGAGTTTGTATTTTCAAGCCCCACTTCCCATCCCCACCATCTTTTGTTCCTTTCTCAGTGAACGGCATTGCCCAAAGTCACTTTCTCCCTCCCACTCCCAGCCAGTCAGGAGCTCCTGCAGTGAGTTTGAGAAGTGTATCTGGCCAGGCAGCCTTGCTGCTCTTTCATTCAGGCCCTCAGTTCCCACTGGTGACAGCAGCCACCTTGCCTGGTGGCCTCAGCATGTCCAACCCTGCTGCTGGAGTCCTCTGTACAAACTCAGACCTGCCCACCCAACGCTCTGCCTGGGTATCTTCATCGGGCCCCACCGTCCTGATAAAACCCCACGCGAGGCATCGGTGGTGACAGCGTGACCCTTGCCCACTGTCCTTCCTTGTATTGTCCCCTCCATAGGGTGCCCAAGCAGGCCCTTTGGCATAGGTGGCCCTGGAGACTTGCTGTGGATGTGGCCACGTCATAGGGGTCACCTTGGTGACAACCAAGGGTTAATCAGGGGCTTCAGACACTGAGCTCCCATGGAGCCAAAGAGATGCCCACTGAGCTGGTCCTGGAACTCTAAGGAGGAGCGCAGATACTCATGCACCCCCAAAACAGTATGAACAATAGTTGTTCCCTCTGACATCCTACACCCCAGATTTCTGCTTGGACATTTGATTCCTATTGACACCATATGTATAGCAGCTCTCATACATACACCAGGCACTGAGCCACACTGCTTCCCCTTGAACTCTGAACACCTTGGTTACTGATAACAAAAGTGATCCCCAAACATCACCTGGGCCAAGACACACCAGTGGTTACATGGTGGCCTGGCTTCCAAGCCCAAGCCTGTCTGAGGCTGGGCAACATCCTCAGCCTCCCTGGTGGCCAATCCATCCATGTCTTTGCCTCTGCTTTACAGAGCTCGTACTTTCTCAGCATCCATCCAGTGGCCCCAGTAGCTTCTCCTAAATGACAGCCCCATCCAGTGCCACTGAAGCTCAGGGATCAGGCAAGATACCCAAGTGTCTCCAAGCCTCCTGGCTCCTGCCTCTGCCCGCGCATGCCCTCCCCAAATGTGGCTGAGCTGAGTCTCTCCCAGCGGGGAGCTCCTGCAGGCATCTGACAGTCAGCCAATATTGATGACTTCCTGCCAGCAAGATAATGTTGAACCAGGCCCTGGCACTCCACGGGTCCCACCTAGAGCCATAGCAAAGGTGGGAGGGGAACACAAGCTGTGCAGTGACAGGAGGAACGTGTCAAGCATTTAATCAATCTTATGTGAGCATCCGGTCCCTTTCCTAGAAGCTACTTTCTGGTTAAAAAAAAAAAAAAAGCATTCTGCCCTTAATCACAGAAGATTTTCCATATTTCATCATAGGAAGCCCCAATCACCCATTTCCAGTGCGTATCACCTCAGATAAAGGCAGAGAGCCCTTGTCAAATGAGCTAATGAATTGGCAGAAGAGACTGGAAGAGTACTGAAAGCCAAACACAGAATTAATCCTCTTCCAGGCTATGAGTGATTAAGCTGCACCCTATACTGAGCTGGGATCCCAGAGCCCAGGTCTCTTCCTCATTTGTGATAGATTCAGACTTGCTGTGTCACGTGGTCTCTGAGACGTGGCATTTCCTGCCTGGTGGTATCATTGCTGCTGCTGTGCCTTTGATAAAAAACAAGAAACGGAAATGGTAGCAATGAGAGAGGAAAGGGCTGGCTGCCTGCTCCTTACTGACCAAGCTGGAGTACGATGTGGTTACAGGCCTGGGTATTCAGAGCCCCCACTGGAAAAGGGCAAGCGGACTCTGTAGGGACATAGGTGGAAACTGACCCTATTCTCTCAGAAAGCACCACCACCATCAGGCCCAGTTAGGGCACAGGCTTCGGTCCCATAGCCAATCCCCAGCTTCTGGTGGAGGGGGAGGCGGCCGTGTGACTGTGAGGGCACATCCGGGCTCTTTGCTCAACAGACCCAAGTGTGTAGCCTTCGAGGCCCTGTGCTTCAAGCAGCAAAAGGACCATGGACAAGAGGCTGGCCTTGTTCCAACTCTGCACCGGGGCCTGGGACACTTTTCCAAGCCGCCATTAAAATGCCAGCTGTCACCTCTGCCAGCCAGAGTCATGCCCTCTCCCCTTTGCTCAACATCTGTCCTCTTAGGACAACAACAGCCCCTTGTTGCCCTTTAGTGCTCTGGGTTTTCCTCAATGCTGTCTCACTGGCTTGGTGACGACAACCCCAAAGCAGGCAGGACAAGCCCCTTCTTTCTTCTTAGAAAAGTACACACAATAATTTGTTCCCTTTGGGGCCAACTGAAGTGGGCTTCAAGGAAGGACGGGTGGGGCTGGGGCACTGAGAAAATCCCTGTCACTGAACCCTTCTAGCCTGGTTGCCTTTTATCCCTATTTGCACATATTCCATTCACATTAAAAATAAGTTACAACTACTAAAAAATAGACCGAGTATACACAGTGCTGGTTGCCTTCTATTGGACCATCCATGAACAAGAAAACTGAGCCATG